TTAAAATATTCACCGTCTGTGTATGAGTGTGCAAAAGTAGCTGTGTCATGTGGTTTGAAATATATTCATACAGTTTATGTTTCACATCCCCCTTCTGAAGCCCAACCAGGGCGCAACGAGAACACGAGTGTTCTTGCAGTGACAGCCCTCATTAGTGAGACGTCTGTGTGGAAGTCAGTCATTTTTCTGTCTGTGTGTTGGTTGTGAGAGGACGGCGCGGTGGAAACAGAGGACCGCTGGACGGAGAGGTTCGTGAGAGTTGTCAGTCAGCTCCTGACAGAGGTTGAATGGAGACTTATAAGCCTGTAGAGGTGGGGCGGGTGCCACAGAGGTTTAGTCAGTGCTGCATTTAGCTCGCCTGAGATATGGTTGGAGCTGTTATTGTGTATGGGTAGAGGATGCATGCAGTGAAGTGTGGGTCAGGGTATATTTAGCTTCAAAAATGGGGGGATGGGGGCAACAAGTAGTGGTCTAAATTCCAACAGACACATTTCCGGGGAGGTTAAAGAAAATGTGTCTGCGTCGCAGTGCTGGTCCTGAACTTAGGACAGATTTAAGTAATGACACTGGATCCTGTGTTACATGGTGATAGGTCAGAATGAATCTGGAACTCTTCATCTTGTTTGGGTCACTTATTATATTTCTTAATGTCCAAAATCCTCTGGTTCAGGCGTCTTCAATGTGAGGACGTGCTCCTTTTGTCTCTGGTTGGGATATCTGGCACCTGGTCTTCATAACTTCTCTCTAAGACTCAGAAAAACATTTCCTCATTGAATGAATGAAGATACCAAATTCATCCGTACACACAGAAGAGTAATACATTTTACTCATGAAGAACAAATACCTTTAATTACTCGCTGCATCCTATGTTCACAGGACCATTTATCATGTAGGACACTATTGCTGTGTCCCAATTCCACCTGTATTCAGTATGTACTACACCAATTATAACAGTATACTGTGGCTGCAGTTAGTATACAATAAATCAACATACTTAACCATTTTATTTAACAGAAAATGGTCCAGTATGCAACGTCCACAGTGTGACGTAGAAACCTGAAGCCTCCAGTTCACAAACACTGAGAATGGACGTAGGAGACATCTTGTTTTCAGCAGGAAAACTTTAGAAATCAACAAAACGTGAATATTCATAGATTCTGGACTTTAATGAGGAAGAAGGAGGAGATT